CTACTACTACTACTACTACTACGACTACTCCTACTCCTACTACTACTTCTCCTACTACTACGACTACTACTACTACGACGACGATGACGACTACTACTACTACTACTATTACTACTACTACTACTACTACTACTACTACTACTACTACTACTACTACTACTACTACTACTACTACTACTACGAACTACTAACTACTACTACCATTACTACTACTACTACTACTACTACTACTACTACTACTACTACTACTACTACTACTACTACTACTACTACTACTACTACTACTACTTCTGACTACTACTACTACATACTACTACATACTACTACATACTACTACTACTACTACTACTACTACTACTACTACTACTACTACTACTACTACTACTACTACTACTACTACTACTACTTACTACTACTACTACTACTACTACTACTACTACTACTACTACAGCTGCTACTACAGCTACAGCTACAGCTACAGCTACAGCTACAGCTACAACAACTACTACTACAGCTGGCGCTGAGCAACAACAGCGGCGCTGTTGACATCCTCGGGCGGGGGCGAGGAGAAGGGCGTGTTCTGAAGTAGGTAGGCGTTGCTCTGAAGTAGACCTACAGGAGCGCGCCTGCGTGAGAGCGCAAGCGCGCCGAGCCGGCTTGAGCCAAGGTGTTTGCGGTTCTTGACAAGACACGGGTTCCCACCCCCAGCGCACCCCCTGTGGCGTCGAGGAAATGCCACGCCTGCCACGCCCTGCGTGCTTGCAACGCATAGGGCCCCCACCCCCAGCGCACCCCCTGTGGCGTCGAGAAATGCCACGCCTGCCACGCCCTGCGATCCTGCAGCGCATAGGACCCCCCACCCCCAGCGCACCCACTGTGGCGTCGAGGAAATGCCACGCCTGCCACGCCCTGCGATCCTGCAACGCATAGGGCCCCCAACCCCAACGCACCCTCCGTGGCGTCGAGGGAATGCGACGCCCTGCGAGCCTGCAACGCATAGGGCCCCAACCCCCAGCACACCCCCTGTGGCGTCGAGGAAATGATACGCCTGCCACGCCCTGGGAGCCTGCAGTGCATAGGGCCCCCACCGCCAGCGCACCCCCTGTGGCGTCGAGGGAATGCAACGCCTGCCACGCCCTGGGAGCCTGCAACGCATAGGGCCCCCACCCCCAGCGCACCCCCTGCGGCGTCGAGGGAATGCCACGCCTGCCACGCCCTGGGAGCCTGCAACGCATAGGGCCCCCACCCCCAACGCACCCCTGTGGCGTCGAGAAAAGAGCGACGCCTTCCCACGCCCTGGGAGCTGCCAACGCATAGGGCCCCACCCCCAGCGCACCCCCTGTGGCGTCGAGGGAATGCAACGCCTGCCACGCCCTGGGAGCCTGCAGCGCTTAGGGCTCCCCCCCCCAGCGCACCTCCTGTGGCGTCGAGGGAATGCCACGCCTGTCACGCCCTGGGAGCCTGCAACGCATAGGGCCCCCACCCCAAGCGCACCCCCTGTGGCGGTCGAGGAAATGCAACGCCTTCCACGCCCTGGGAACCTGCAACGCATAGGGCCCCCACCCCAAGCGCACCCCCTGAGGCGTCGAGGAAATGCCACGCCTTCCACGCCCTGGGAACCTGCAACGCATAGGGCCCCCACCCCCAGCGCACCCCCTGTGGCGTCGAGGAATTGCCACGCCTGCCACGCCCTGCGAGCCTGCCAGCGCATAGGGACCCCACCCCAAGCGCAGCCCTGTGGCGTCGCGGGAATTGCCCGCCTGCCACGCCGGGAGCCTACAGCGCATAGGGCCCCCACCCCCCGCGCACCCCCTGTGTCGTCGAGGGAAATGCCACGCCTGCCACGCCCTGGGAGCCCACAGCGCATAAGGCCCCCACCCCTAGCGCACTCCCTGCGGCGTCGAGGAAATGCCACGCCTGCCACGCCCTGGGAGCCCACAACGCATAGGGCCCCCACCCCCAGCGCACCCCCTGTGGCGTCGAGGGAATGCCACGCCTGCCACGCCCTGGGAGCCTGCAGCGCATAGGGACCCCACCCCCAGCGCACCCCCTGTGACGTCGAGGGAATGCCACGCCTGCCACGCCCTAGGGTCCTGCAGCGCATAGGGCCCCCACCCCAAGCGCACCCCCTGTGGCGTCGAGGAAATGCCACGCCTTCCACGCCCTGGGAACCTGCAACGCATAGGGCCCCCACCCCAAGCGCACCCCCTGTGGCGTCGAGGGAATGCCACGCCTGCCACGCCCTGGGAGCCTGCAACGCACAGGGCCCCCACCCCCAGCGCACCCCCTGTGGCTAAGAGGAAATGCCACGCCTGCCACGCCCTGGGAGCCTGCAACGCATAGGGCCCCCACCCCCTACGGGCAATTCTGCGTGATCAGGGTATGTGTCTGTTTGTGTCTGTGTGTGTGCGGTGTGTATATGTGCTGTGAATATGTGTGTGCTGTCACAAGCACCCCTGTGTGCGGCCGCGGTGAGGGACCACCCCCTGCGCACCCCCTAAGCTGAGCTGTGCTGTGCTGTGCTGTGCTGAGCTGTGCTGAGCTGTGCTGTGCTGTGCTGAGCTGCGCTGTGCTGCGCTGTGCTGTGCTGAGATGAGCTGAGCTGTGCTGACCTGTGCTGTGCTGTGCTGAGCTTAGCTGAGCTGTGCTGAGCAGTGCTGTGAGGAGGAGGGGAAGCGTGAGGTGTGAGGGTGAGTGTCGCGGGTGCGGCGCGGCAGAGAAGAAAACCATAACCCCACGAAGCATGTGGGAAACAAAAACGACTTGGGGTGCAAACCTCACCAGAGTTAACTCGGGCGTGGCCCCCTACAGGGGGATTTTGGGTGCAAAATTAAAGATAACCCAAACATATTCCAAAATGTGCAAAAATAGTCGAACAATCGTCCCCCGACTATTTCTGGACTATTTTTGAATATTCCTCGTGTAGAAGGACAGGCCCGACATCACACCAGAGGGACCCCGGGAGTGATCCGGGAACCGATTCTGAGCGGAGTTGGCCTCATCCCCCCCTCCTGAAAAATGTTCGAGGGTCTCAACCAGTTCGGACCCCCCAGCCGCCTGCAACCTGCGAGGTCTTCATCGGACAGATTAGATGCGATCAAATCCGATTAGGGGGCCTTCAAGCCAGAGTAAGCGAGATTAGGCCTGGGATCAAGCCGGTTTGAGCGGGACTAGGCCATTGACCAGAAATCCCCACCCCCACGCCCACCAAGATGATTTTTAGATGTTTGCGGAATTATGGACTTTGTCGACACGCCCCCACGGCGACGACTGCGAACCGCGACGCTTCCAGTTTTACACATCGTTGTCAAAACCCTTCTTTGCTTTGTTTTGTTATGAAACACGTCTTGCTTGTTTTATAAACGCGTTATTGCGTTTGTGAAATTGCGCCGTTGCACGTTCGGGATGGCGCGATTTGAGCAATGTCGTAGGCAATTTCGCGCTCGGCAATTGTTTCTTAAAAAAGTTGTGGGTGTTGGTTAAACACGTAGCGAATGTTAAAAACATGTGGTGGGTGTGGGAGTGTATGAAGCGGGACAATGCCGGATTAGGCCAGTGTTCGACCACGGATACACAGGAGGAGGAGGTGGAGGAAGAGCAGCACCGATGCTGAGTGTCACCCCTCAGGTGTTGCATCCTAAAAAACCTGCCGGTTGTTGAACGAGAGGCCGTCGAAGGCCGAGCGCAGCTGCGGGTGGCCGCGCGGGAGGCCCATGAAGGCCGCCGCGTCGGTGGAGATCTGGTCCACGTACTGCTGCATCCCAGTCTTCTCGCCCGCGTTCGCGGCCTCTGGGATTATGCAAGACGAAGCCAGGACGAAGATAAATACTTTGGGTGAGGATAAATCGGCAATCTCTGAGATCCGGCGGCTCTGAAAGATATCTCGGTCGCCGCGGCTATCTCAGCGGTCTGGAACGCTCTGGAGCGGATTTATCCTCGTCCTAACCCCGTCCGATAAGGACCATATCCCAGAAATAATTTCGAACACCCCGAAAATTATCCAAGCAGTGTCTGTCCGACACGCTTGTGAAGTGTCGAATGAGTATCGCCTCCCCAGGCCTGGCACGTGAAACCCCTCCGCTTTCGGCACTTCCTCGGTGCTCGGAAATCTTTCTGGTGATCAAGGCTTGAGCATGTGGGAACCTCACAACTCTGGAAGAAAGGTGCTCGATCTGTATACACCACTTCGCCTGGTCGGCCAGGGAGCTCGGCGCATAGACGCCCCAACTTCCCGGGCTGTGGGGCGCTGGATCGCCGATGCGCCGGGTTCGTTCGCCGAGTTCCTTGGCTCCTCGGCCGACCAGACGCGGTGGAATAGACGGAGGGGAAGAAGACGGGGACCATGACCAAAACTGAACGCGGACACGTCGTGCCGATCTTGGTCACCGTCGATTTTGGTCAGCGTAAGTTCGCGGATCAACCTCGCGGATCGGCGACGGCCGACATGGACCATGACCAAGGTCGGCACCGACAGGATCCCGCGACGTCTTGGTCGTGGTCCCCGTGTTTCCTCCCTCGAATATAATATACCTCGAACCCCTCGGGTCCTTGATGTGGTCGATGCCGTAGATCCACGTCAACATCGCGTCGTGCAGGTCGGGGCACGCCGCCGTGGACTCTGGGTCGCTCCTCCCGGGCGTGACGGAGGACGGCCGGGGGCCGGGGCGGAAACGGGCCCTGGGCCCCCAGGCTCTCCCCAAGACCGATCTGTAGACTCAACAGACCGGTGTAAAGATGCCTCTACTAGAATCAGGTCGGGCATGTCCCCCCACTGGTGGATATTGGGAGAATACTTGGAAATAGTCATACCGAAACCAACAAGTAACCCGACGAGCACGAACAATCGTCCCAAACTGTTGTTTTACTGTTCCTGCATGCTCCTCCTGCACATGGACATGCCCGACTTTTCATACTAGAGGCATACCAAATGGGGTCGGAAACTGTGGGCCCAGAGGATCACGTTGCATCGCCGATGCATCGGCGATGTATCAGCGACATCGGCGACGTATCCGCAACGTCGATTTGGAGAAACTCGGGCCCCAATCCAGCCGCATCGCCGATGCATCGGGGATGAAGCATCGGCGATGCGGCGGGCGATGTCCTCCGACCCCCATCCGCTCGGGGCCCCTCTGGGAGGACCAGCGCCTGTCATCCCGAGTCGGTTCCTGGCGATCCAGAAGCCCCTGGGAAAGGGGGGGGGTCTGGCGATGGCCTCGCGAAACCGAGGACGGCGGACGAGCGCGCGATCCGATGCCCTGAGGCCTCCTCCTCCTCCTCCTCCTCCTGCTCCTGATACTCCTGCTCCTGATACTCCTAATCGGCGTTGGAGGCTCAGGCACTTCGAAAACCGACGGAGAAAAGGATTTTGCTGAAACTCTCTCACACGACGACCGCCCAGCAACCGCACGGGCCAGAGAGGGAACCAGGGGGCGTGGCAGATGGATGGCGGTTGCAGTTCTCTCGATATGCGCGTTGATTTAACTGGTTTTCGACAGTCCGAGGGCAGCGAAGACCACGGACAGGCTGGACGAAATTAGCAGTGCACTACGAGGAGTGGGACGTGATTGTGCTGACGGGGACAAATCAGTGGGCAGGTCCAGAGCCGATGAAGAAGACGAGTCGTAGATATCATGCGGCACTGCAGCTCGTGTCAAACAAGGGAATCATGGATCAACAAATCACGTGGTGCGACGTTTCTGGTGTCCGACAAGACGATGCAATACAATGCCTTCCACGCGCAACACACACACACACCACCTGCGCAACTGCCAGGAAGAAATGCAGGGCTTAGGCTGCGTACGAGAGCATACGATACCACAATGATCGCGACGTGCTTGCCGCCAGATAGAGGGTACGCAAACAATTGGATGACCCCCCAAAATATGAAATGGGTGGAAGAGAAGCGTGGCGACACGGGTGGCAGATCTGCTATCATAGTGGGAGGGGGCATCAACAGCCAACTGGGAATGCACGGGTTAGACAGCAATGATCTTGTCGTAAGTAGACACAGCTCGGGCAAACATGCAGCAGCATTGGGGCTAATTGCCAAGGGGGTGGAGAACGATAGTGGCACCGCTTTCAGGGAGTTGTGTGTCCGCGGCGCATTGTCAGTAGTCGCGACTTTCATCGATTGCGGGCCAACTTACTAGTGCGCGCAAGACGGGAAGATGAAGACGAGCAAAATAAACCACCCAGCGATACCGCCGGGGGCTTTACCCCGCGCGCGGAGGCGCGCTGCATTGAGAGGAGTGGCGAACACATTGCAGGCGATAAAAACGCGAGAGGACACAGAGACCACATCCTTTGGAACGGGGACATCACTTGCATTTCTCGGGCACACACCGACAACAAAGAACGCGCGGGGAAGTGGGCGCAACGCGCTGATGGAGTGACTGAGGAAAGGGCGCCTGCGAGCGGAATTCTTGAGCGCTGTCGACCGCCGCCTGCAGGTCGCCCTGCCACTGCAACCAGGAGAAGCATTAGCGAGGTTATCTCGGAATGCGACCCAGGCGGATGCTTCTGCACTCCCAGAAGGTGCACTAGCGAAATGATCTCGGAATGCGACCCAGGAGGATGCTTCTGTACTCCCAGAAGATGCACTAGCGAAATGATCTCGGAATGCGACCCAGGAGGAAGGGAGGCTTTCTCGGAGTGCAGCCCAAGGGGAGCGAACGGCAGAAGAAGAATGGAGAGAGCTCCAGGAGCGCCCCACGGCGGACCAGATGCGGAAGACTCAAGGGGCCCAAGGAAACACAAATGAATACACACAAATAAAATGATCCCCCATATTTTCCCATATTTTCTTGGTTTTTGTCTTCCCCACCACTTCCCATATTTTTGCATATTTTCCTGGGAGTCGACGATTAATTGTGTCTGTGTGTTTCTTTCCCTCCTGAAAGACATGGAGCGAAGCGAGCGGGAATGCCATGACAGAAAGACTCCCAATCAAGAAGAAGCAGGAGAACAAGGGGGTCGCCACCTTCCAATTACTGCGACCTTCCCTATTGGCAGAAAGGATGAAGCTAAGAGCGGACACGGTAGAGTCTGACGCGCAGGAGAGATAGGAGGATATCAAGAAGGAGCTGGCGCAGATGCAGCATGCGCCACGTCGACGCAGGGCAGACTTGGAAATGACAAGGCAAAAGAAACTGGCAGGAAACATATTGAGGGCATGCGAGAACAACAACTTCAGCGAGATGCCCGGGCTCAGGGTGAAATATCAGAGGCATGGGAGAGAACTCAAACAAATACTATTTCTCGGTGCTGGCATGGCGGAAAGCAAAGGAAGGGCCCAAATAACTGGGTAAACATCCCCGCGACGGGGGGCAGGCAGCGGAATCGATGTACCTAGAACAATACGAGAAGGAGCACGACGAAATGATTGCAGGGAAAATGCCGCTCACAGTGGGCATGGATCCCAAAGCTCAAATGGAGAGGGGCAACAGAGATATGCTGAAGTACTGCGGGGAAGCGGCAAAGAGGGGGATTTCCCCGTGGGATGCACTAGTGGAATTGGCATGGGTGATACTGGAGCCCACAGTCAACCTGGAAGACCTTGAGCAGCTGAACAAGAAGCTGGAGGAGCAAAACGCACGGGCGGCGGAGAAGCGAGATGACGAGGAGGACTCGGACAAGTGCAGCTAGCTCGCTATGCAAGTGCAGGGCTGGCAAGTCTATGTGCAGGAAATGGGTTGGACATCAGGCAGGGCACTGGGCAGAACGGGCAAAGATGACGACGGAGAAGCGCTGCGGGCGACAGGGAAAATCAGACCACCTGAAGAGATGCGAGAAAGCTGGGCCGGGGTCGTCAGCGTTGGAGAAGTGCGCGGGCATGGAGCGCATGAGCAAGCTGGAGGACATCCTGACTAAATGTCGCCAATACCAAGCTACGCCGCTGGACTGGCACAGGTCTATTTCCTTCTCGGCAGAAGAAAGCGCCCCCCAAAAAGGGGACCAGAGGAAAAAACGTTACGCGCGCACGCTGCTCTATGGGAATGGCTTTTCGCAGGGGCATCCATCGCGCAAAGGAGAGCCAGCGCACCCATGCTGGGAGCGGCGGGGAGGGGGGGGGCGGCATAGAAATAGATCGAAGGGGAACGCGGCTGCCTGCGTCGAAGCTGCGCAATGGAGAGCAATACAGGCAAGGGCGATCACCGTCGCCAGCAACTGCGACTGCACAAACGCTTTCGCGAACACGAAACGCAACCTCCCGCGGGCATCAGTCTTCGCCGCGTCGAAAGAAGAGGGCCGATCATTCGCTATCGGTGCGCTGCGCTGCGCGTCAATGAACATTGGATGCGCGGGCGGTTGGCTGCATGCAAGGGCGGCGCGGGGAGCGCAGGTGGGTTTCACCTTGTGCCCGAGGCAATTCAATCATATATGCAACCCGTGCGCGGGGCAATGACACTGGGAAGGAAGGGGGATGGCGAGATGCAGACAGCGCGTGGCACAGTGGGCCCAGTCAACGAACAAGAGCACGACCTCTCGCTCAACGCGTTCATGGACGACACCACCAAGGTCCATGCAGTGGTCTCGTCGGGTCCGCACAAGCAGGCGACTGGAGTTAGCGAGGTAATCTCGGAGCACCAGTCGGCGCTTGGCGAAAGCGAGGATTTCTCGGCTCGTCCAGGCACTCAGCGCCAGTGGGCTTTTGGCGAAAGCGAGGTCATCTCGGACCGCCCAAGACCCCAAGCGAGAAAGATAGCATATCAGATAATTGCCACCACGCAGCGCATCCAGCGCAGGCTGAAGAGAGAAGGATGGAGCTTGAACCCAGCCAAAACGAACCACCTGGTAACCCTTCGAGGCCCAGGGCGAGACGGGACCACGCGACAGCTGCAACAAGAAAAGAAGATCAAGGGCTCGCCGATGAGGGATATGCGAGCACTGGGGCCATACCTACCAAGAGATCAGGGCGCGCGGGGACGATCCGGAGGAGGTGTGGGGCCATGCATATAGCTCACCGACAAGATATAGAAGGCCTCGTGGATTGACGGCGCTTGTGCGGGGGGCGCGTCACTTGATTGCACTCGACAGTGCTGTGGCGTTTGTTTTGAACAGATGAAAAGAATGGCCGGAGGAATGATGAGCTGGCTAGATGCAGATGGCACGACCAGGTGCTACGCCAACAGGGAGGCTTTCAGGAGGTGGGAGACGCCGCGCTGCTGAACGGCGCCGAGGATCCAAGGGCCACGGTGGCACAGACAATGGGCGAAATAGCCGAAGGACTTTGGCAGTGTGTTGGCGGCAGTTTTTGGCGCGCCGAAGCGGGGCAGCCTCGGCAAAGTTAGGGGATTGGAACATGGGGGGGGGGTGCGCGTGCGGGGGTGGGGCGGGGTGCGCGCGCGCGTGTGTGTGTGTGTGTGTGTGTGTGTGTGTGTGTGTATGTCTGTCTGTCTGTCTGTCTGTCTGTCTGTCTGTGTGTGCGTGTGTGCGCGTGCGTGCGTGCGTGCGTGCGTGCGTGCGTGCGTGCGTGCGTGCGTGCGTGCGTGCGTGCGTGCGTGCGTGCGTGCGTGCGTGCGTGCGTGCGTGTGTGTGTGTGTGCGTGTGTGCGCGTGCGTGCGTGCGTGCGTGCGTGCGTGCGTGCGTGCGTGCGTGCGTGCGTGCGTGCGTGCGTGCGTGCGCGCGCGCGCGAGGGTGTGTGTGTGTGTGTGTGTGTGTGTGTGTGTGTGTGTGTGTGTGTGTGTGTGTGTGTGTGTGTGGGGGCTGCGAGGCGTCTACGCGCTGGACAAAGCAGGTAGTCAGAGATTTGCAGGCGCTGGCGGAGGTCAGCGAACACGTCGCAAGTTGGCGCCCGCGGAGGCAACCAGACATCTCAATTTTCAAGAAGTGCGCAAGAGACTGGGGAGCTAGGATTGGGGCGGACCCTCGTATCCCACGCCGCGCAGGGAAGGCCTGGGACGCAACGCTACCAGACATTACGGTGGGAGGACACATGGTTAGCTCAGTTTTGGCGCTGCTGGGAAGCTGGGGCCGAGGGACAGGTGCGCGGGGGGCAAGTTTCTACGACGGCGGCGCTGGCAACGCGCGGGAGAGTGGCGCGCGACTGTCTTCCGCTGGCCCCCAGCTTGGCGACGACGAATCAATGCCCATGGTGCTCGAGCCCTTTCGCGTCAGAAACATAGCGACCGACCATGTCGCGGGGGCAGCGGGGAGCCGCGGGATTCGCTGGAAAAACAAAAGTTGATAGAACCGCCCAGTCCAAGAGCCCCCTTCCCTTGTCTGCGCCATCTGTAGCTTTCAGGCTCAATCCTTGGGGGGCCATTTCAGGCGCGCGCGCGCTGCCGCCATCCTGGCCCGCATTGCGTGAACGGTGGCGACGGCTGCGCGGGGGCTGCCCCCGCCCAGGAGAGGGGCGAGCGCGGAGACGGAGGGAGAGCCGAAGCACCGCAAGGGCGGCCAGGGAACGAGAATAGACCAGTGGCACACAGAAGGGGCCAACGCCGAGGCGGCGGGCCGCCCGCCAGCGGCCGCGGCCGCGGCGACGGGAAGGGGGCAGAAAAAAGCGGATGGGGGAGGGCGCGGGCCCCTCCCCCCCCGCCAGCCACGTGCAGCGGGGGGCTGCGGGGAGTTCGGCCCCAGAGGGTGTATCAACGGACTCCAGCGACTGGCCCTCCGCTCGGCAGCAG